CACACGTTCAAATGCTAGTAATTGAGACAAGAAGGAAATCACAGTACACATTTTTTTCCATTGGGCGTTTCGTATGAAAATAATGTATGTTGAGATAGACACGGTTTTTTAATGTAAATTTAATCTGGCAGTAATATTTAATCCATGATCTAAAAAACCTCACAATACACATCTATTTATATAAATAAATAAGCTGAAAATCTGCTGAAAATTAAGTTGCCGGTATATGCTGGTGTATGAAAAGTGTCGCGACTTAATTCAAACGATCGTGTTTTTTTTTTGTTACTATTTTTCTCCAGAAATAGTAAAATTGCTTGAACAAGTCACGTTTCTTCAATCATATTCAAATATTCTGCATGACGCGCTTTGGAGGGCCCACGTGACACACGCGTATTGATGACGTCACATGTCGCGTATCACCAACGCAATTGAGAAAGAGAGAAAAAAATGTACCGTTGGAAATATGAGTAATTTGATCTATTTATTTTTATAAACCACAGTAGAGTACTCGTTTCGCCCAGGAAATGGAACGTTCTGAGTCATCAATGAAACATATATAATCTCCGTAGCAAAAATACCACTGCCAGCGATTTTCAGAGATTCCGTGCGTACGTGGCCGAAATCGTGTCTCTCGCTGTAATTTCCCCCTTGACACTGTTTGCTTCACATCTCTCTTCAACGCCGGGCAAGATATTTGCAGGCACCTTCATGGCGTATTTCTTTAAACTGCGCCCGATTTTTTTTACAATAATGACATGTATGTCGTTTCAAGTTAGTGGTCGACCATTAGAAACCATGGGGAGTGGCCGGAAGATTTGTTGAAAAAAATATGTAAGGTAGACACCGAGAGATAGAAAATGCATGCAAGATTTTGCAGGAAAACAACGTTGCATTAAACATTCAAGAAAAAAGAAGAACAATGCACTGGTCACACTTCATGATTTCAAATGGTTGCACCTCAGTTTAATTTGTATTTTATGGCAGGGTTTTGAGTATTATTTCTCCCACTCGTTTCCACACGGATTAATGGCTAAGGCATCGTGACTTCATGGCATCGAGCCGATCAGCAAACATTCGGGGATGTACTAATATTACGCCCATTCCCGTGCACGTTTTCTTGGCATCACCCTACCCATCATCCCCGACCCCCAACGTCTCTGTTATCTTTTGAATACATGTAGAGAAACTAAATTCTAATGATTTTGAGGGGACGTGGGTGATGCCGTCCGTCAGTGGTCGACCCTTTACTGGCTTCGGAAACTACGTACATATCTGACGTTAGTCGCATGAAACCCCGTCGTTGTCGACAGGTACCTTTGTCCAACCACCTTATCCCAGACACAGTAATATATTCCTTAGCACTTGTAAGGAGAATTGCAATATTTTAACACATCAAGAGACCGAATCGACACGAATCGGAATAAAACAAGCTTCAGTATTAAGATTATAATACTAGTCTTACCGCCTCTGGCAATACTAAAACATCACGGTGGAATCGCCACAGAAATCAGTGTGCTGAAAAAATATTATTTTTAGTAAATTTTTTCTATTGAATTTCACGTAAATATTTCTAAATATACATTTTTCATTGTTAGTGTTCATATTCCCATAAAAGGACAAAGCAGGTCGTCGTCCCGGTTTCTCTTAAATATGCACACTGATGTGTGAGATGTCACAATATGAACCCACGTGACGTCTTTTCTGAGCCCACGTAGATGTTCTTTTATCACAACTTCGGGAATATTCGTATGACGTCGATACTTCGTATCGCTTCGGATTTATACAGTCCGATTTTGCGGATATTTGGGTCAGTTTTGATATTTTGCTCGGTGTCGTTCAATGAATTATTAGTCGTCCATTGGCTGAACTTACGTGGACTGATCATATTTGTCATTATCGGTGTGCTCACCGACTGCTGCAAGCCGAAAACAAGAACGAGCTAATATCACGAACTGAATAAATTAGTCTATTTTTAGACTCGGAAAATTGAATGCTGCTAACTCTCGGGAATAAGTACGTCGCATCGGCGCTGACGACATCAACCGAATGACGTCGAATGAAAATCGGGAATCCGTGTTTGAAATTTTAAAACCAATTTCACTAAGTAATGATTATATTTAGTAGGAAATCATTTATTATGTGGCGATATAGAATGCTGAATTTTCTGGTCTGTTCTCGCTCATAGCTACGATGTAATTCTATTTGTGGCATTCGGGGTCACACGCTTATAAACCGAGTGCTATAAATAGATTCATGTGAACTGAATATTAAACAGTTCACCATTATTTCTGTTATACGGAGGTCACATCACGTAACCATTTTCCATCTACGAAAACCTTCAAAAACGGTCGATTTTTATTTATTTATTAACACCCTGTTTAATGACTTGTATCGTAAATTGACTCAATTGACGTCATGCTGATGATGTGTCTAATTTCTGCAATATACTGTAATTATCCGTTGATTTGTTTTGATAGTGATTTCATGACAAATGCTCGAGTTTGTTCGAAAATAGGCAGTTTTCAGTGGAATTAGTCGGGGTTACTCTTATAATGATGAAACCTGAACTTGCGAATTGATCATGAAAATCTAAGTAATTACATGCATGGGTTGGTTGATGTAGAGTGATGAATGAGTAGTTCCGATGACGTGATAAATTTACATTGATCTCATATTAAGTACTCATAGAAGCTGTGTGTGATGTTATAGGCCGTGTACTCCGAATCCCACGGATATTCCATCCAATGTTGTAAAACCGGGATTGAGAAGCATAAAGTAAAACAACATACTCTACCAATATCCCAAATCTGTGTTGTTTTCGCTCGTGTGATTAATTGCGTATTTTACTGTTAGTCTAGGTGTGATGACGACTCCTGTGACGGATACGTTCATGTGTGATACGTTAGTCCAGGTGTGACGACGATGTCCGTGACGGGTACTTCCACGTGTTGTACGTTAGTCTAGGTGTGACGATGATGTCTGCGACGGGTACATCCATGTCTTATACGTTACTCTAGATATGACGATGATATCTGTGACGGGTACATCCACGTCTTATACGTTACTCTAGATATGACGATGATATCTGTGACGGGTACATCCACGTCTTATACGTTACTCTAGATATGACGATGATATCTGTGACGGGTACATCCACGTCTTATACGTTACTCTAGATATGACGATGATATCTGTGACGGGTACATCCACGTCTTATACGTTACTCTAGATATGACGATGATATCTGTGACGGGTACATCCACGTCTTATACGTTACTCTAGATATGACGATGATATCTGTGACGGGTACATCCACGTCTTATACGTTACTCTAGATATGACGATGATATCTGTGACGGGTAATTCCACGTGTGGCATACGCGTTCTATAAATTGTGAACTCAGATTATAATATAGAAATCTCAAGTGTACATGACGGAATGAGCCCGAGGATAGATTGGTTGTCACATAAACATCCAAATATATTATCATTCAATTAAAATTCAGCAGGTAAAGAGAGGATTTACGTACATGACTTCGTCATAGCGAGTAACTGCTGCTCTAGCAATACAGCGAAGCACTCAATGGGAGCACACGTCTTAAGGGATATACTACGTCAGTGCCATCGATAAAGAAGCTCGATAAACACCGTGTCAAAGCAAACACATGTATTAAACAAAATTACGTCAAATCAGATGTCAATTTCAAATATCGTACTTTTTTATTTGTTTTCCTCCCAAATGTGGAGGAAATATATATATATATATATTTATAACAACAAATCTCACTTAATATGTACATTAAAAGGAGTAATAACATTAACAGAAATGCTTTGCAGGGAACGTGTGGCATTCAAGGAAAATAGCCAAAGAAAAAACCATGACAACATAAAATCACAAACGCTGATATCAAATATCACAATGATAATGGAATAAAAAAATTATATCTCTTGGATGTACGTTATATTTATTACATTATATATTTAAAATAAAATATATAAAGAACGGGTTGTACAAAACAGCAGTGTCTTTTCACATTTTAATGCCTTCTCTGAGTATTTTTTAAATACATGACGTCAGTAACGGCCCATGACAATTAAATTCGCCTCGGTTCAGATTAAGCTAACCCGGCCCTTGTTTTCGGTTTTGTCGTTTTGAGAGATTTTTATGATCGACACTGCAAATATTTCACATTGACAATGATTATAAAACAACATACCTAAAATTAAAGCTTTGATCCACAATACAAGCGACAATTACACCAAAAACAAGCTGTATTTTGTACACCTTGACGTAGAATGAAAATATGAATACACCAAGGAGGAATAGAAAAATAGAGTGCTATTTTTAGCTAGTATATAAAAAATTCATTTCCTATATGTCTATTTAGCTTCATTGGAATTTACGTGTGTTTTACGTAGATAGCCTTCACAAAACACATCCCACCTACGTCACCACATACGGGCACACCATGATGACATCACAATATTAGAAATATGTTGCTGCTATGACAATACAGCATTGAAATATGCTAATGAGTATCGAACTCGGGTCATGAATACATAATTAGGTGTATTGGTTGTGACAGGCAGTGTATTGCCCGCGTTACCAAACTCCCTGTTATTAGCGGCATGTGTTCAAAACAAAAAAATAAAGACAGAACAAATATCATTCTACTTCAAGCAGTCTGTGAAGTCAACACGAAAATATAAAGTATACAACACTGACGAACACTGCTGTGCTGACTAGGAACCACGTCACGTGACTTGGTCATAATAAAAACATCTTACGAAATAATTAAAGTGTGTACGTTTCACACACCAATCCATACAAATGATATTTTCTTGTAAAATGTTAAGTGTGTAAAAATTGTTAGAAATAGTAACATAACATAGTTTTCTAAAAATTTGTTCTGGATATCATAAGTTTCAAGTTGCTTGACACATTATTTTGCCAAATATACAAACATAAAAAGACGCAAATTCTTGGCAATCATACATAAATCTCGAATCCTTTTTGGCAGTTTTATAGAGTTCATCAAAAAGTTCATGAAAAATCTGCATCTTTTCGTATTCAATTCATGGTGAAAATAAAGTACTGCCGAAAATATTAATTTAATAAAAGAAAGATAAAATGCTAAAAAATCACACACATAAAGTCTCTGAGATTTAAGAACGTGTCGTTGAGACCATGTGTTGTGGACTACTGGCCTGGCTAACAACGCCCGGGAGTTCTTGCTGTTGAGGTGGCGGAGAAGAAACATTGCTGGTACTATACGTGGATTGTCCGCTACTAGCCAACAACTTGGCTTCTTTCTTCATTTTTTGCCTGAGATGGATTTTGCTGTGTCGCTTCCTTTCGTCGCTTCGTGCAAACCGCCTTCCACAGGTGTCACAAGCGAAGGGTTTTTCACCAGTATGAGTCCGAATATGGGTGGTCAGATGATCACTGCGGCTGAAATTTCTCATGCAAATGCGGCATTGGAAAGGTTTCTGTCCGGTGTGAATGCGAATATGACGAGTAAGTTCATCGCTCCGCGAGAAACGACGATCACAAGTTTCTACTGGACAGGCGTAGGGTCGCTGATGTGGTGGGGTCTTGCTCGGCCTGTTAGGATATTTGCGTTGTTTTTGCGGCTTCGTCGGTGGTGGGCTTGGTTGGTAAGGCTGATTTAAAGGTACATTTATTTTACCTGTTGTTGCACTTTGGGCAGTGAGAAAGTCTTCGGGTGTCGAGGTATGGAGAACCATATCGCCCAGTGCCTGAGTTCTCGGTGGTTGGCTTACCATGAGTTCTGGGGATGTAGATAACTGTTTGCTTGGTTGATAACTGCTATAGTCCGGAATTATGGGCCACGAATATTTAATCTCCCCGCCTATGTTTTTCACCTGCTGGTAGGTAGTAGGCTGGTTGGAAACGAGTGATGAATTGCACGTCGTCGTAAGACTTTCCAGTGTATCATATGGTGTCGCTTGTGTGTACGATGAAGTAAACGGTGGTTGAAGTTCTACGTTACTGAGCGCCTGAGTGATGGCGATGTCGTTAGTGGTGACGGGTGTAAAAGTCTGTTCTGGTTGGCTGATAGAACTTGTTGTAGTCATTGGAGATGGGCTACCGATGCTACTGTTTGCTAAGGTGCTAGTAAGGATGTTGGTAAGCATCGGCGACAACATGGTACGTTCTGGTTGCCACCAAGCATTCGGCGTAGGTGAGCTCCCGGTACTGCATTGCCCACTCGCATTGCTGGATACAGGTGAAGCAGACGCCGTTGTAAAAGTACCCCTGTATGTCAGAGTCTCTGGTTGTGTTGTAATGATCTGTGCTCCGGTGATTCCAGATCCCTGATAGCTGCTATCTGCCGATTGTGATTTGTAGCTACCAATTAAATCATCGCCGACGATGGCTGTAAATGAAAAAAATATATATATTTAAAGATCTGTGTAAATTTGTAAAGTCGGTTAGATAAAGTAAGTCTATGTGCACATGTGTTTATGTGTACCGACTAATAAACTCACAGTGCGGTCGCGATGAATGTATGCTCGTGTGCGTACATGGCCGATTACAGCTATATCTACTCCACATATTAACTCGTATTCCTATCAAAAGTCGTATTTTTTCCCCGAATAAGTACACTTGAAAACTGAGCTAAAGTGCACACGCGATGTTATCCTGACCGGCTATAGTGCTCGAATGACGACTGCTGTACAGGTATATCTGCTGTAGACGAAATCCGAGTGGGTGGAAGACAACACGCCCACTCATACACATTTCACAGTACTAGATAATAACACAGTCGACATCAACTACCACACGTGTAGAAATAATAACAACGTGTTCAATAGCGAGCAAGAACGATTTGTCCAGTTATTCTGTCGCCGAGTTACAGATACTGGCAGCCTGGCCGGATGTTATGAGTCAGCCTATATGTAACGTGTACTACTGCTAACATGCCAGTTCGCTGACTGTGTAAGGAGTTATTGCAGTGTAGGGTATGTGTGCAAAATACAGATTAGATGAATTGAGCCTTACTTTAAAAAATGCGACTGGTCATATCAACTGTCACTGATCGCAAAACGCCAACTACAGTGAAACATGTTTAGTAGTATGTCACTGCTATATCGAATACACTGTCACGGTGACGAGCCGAACAGTGTACAGTAACATGAAAGCAGTGCGATGGGATAGAGAACATTTACTCACCGCTTAGAGAAGTATCGTGAAGATCGTCGTCCGTACTGAATAAAGATTCTCCACTTCCAACTGTAGTAGGAATTAAGTCAACTTGTTCAAGTTCGGGTACTTGTCTAACGGTGGTTGCAGACAACGTAGTATGTGGCGAGTCGAACAAGGAAGTGTCAAAACTGCTGAGCAGCTGATCGGTTGCCACCCGAGTAAGCGTTTCCAACGCGTCCATCCGCATTTGGCCACTAGAATTACCGTTACTCATACGTCAGAGAAGAATACTATGATGGTTTCTCTGTCTGCCCGGCTGATCGTTGATAGCTAACCACAAAACGTTGAGCATAAAATGTAGTATATCTGTCGGCGAAGTACTCACTTCGATGTATGTTCGGTCGTAGTATCTTCAATGAATGAACACCAACGTAGGCGTAGCCTTGTTTTATCACATTCATTCACTAGATCCCATGACTATATAAGGAAAGCCATCTACGACGATGGCCAATCACAGTCGACTCCTATGTCAATAGAGCTCCTTTTATTGCCATGCGATAACGTGACGTCAAATGACGTTTTCATGAATAAAAGATTATAATTGTGCCGCCGACATGGTTGCATAAAATGATATTAGCCATGTTTCTAGGGTGTTTTGCACGGAATAAAACTTCTGCGCAGTGCAAAATACAACATTTTGTGTAAATCAGATAGCATTGCAGATAACCCATTGCATTTTTCTATGTTTTTCAGGGCCGAAGGCTCTCGAGTGCTAGATACGGAATGGCCGCTCTGTTTACCTATTCACACGATAATGAGATAACAGCTCATGAATATTTAATTTAATTGTACTCGGGAAAATCACGAAATACCGGAGTTGACCATATATGGTAAGGACGAGGGCGAATATACTTCCGAGCATTGATTACGGCTAGTCTAATTTACATTACAAAAGCAACGTCATCAGGGGCTGGTATGTCTCTTTGACGGGGCTCAACTGCTGACTATAGATGGGCTCGATCGGCACCGATTAATGTTCGGCGACTGTTCGGAAAATTTTCCGGATTCTTCCTTATAAGGCATCTCCCAGTGTTAAGAGTTCACGGAGCATAAGAAGTAGATCGCGTCCCCGTCGCAAACGAGTTTACGCTTTAGTAGCTTGCTAAAAAGACCTTTTTAAGAAAAAAAAACGACATCTGCCAGAAGGGTCACTATTTGTTTCATTATTTTATATGTTTTCCCGTCTAACTTAAAATAATCTATCTAAAAATAAATTTATAACGAAACCTACCTCTCATCATTTGGCTAAAATACTAGTATGTTTTTTTTCCAATAATTATTATTACCTCCATGCTTGGTCAAAGGAAATGTGAAAACAAAATGCTAAAATAAGAAAACATAGCAGTTGTATTCAATTCAAAAATTAGTGGCCACACTACCGAATTACCATGTATTCAACGCTATCACATACTACTAAATAAGAAATTATTAAAATGTACTCCATTCGTTTATACAAAATTTAATATTTGTTTGCGACTCGGCAGAAAGCGTGACCGAATTGTTAAAAACAATAACGAAAAATATGTTATGCCCGATACACTCATGGTTACCCTTTCCCCAATAAAATATTAATATGCGTGGACGGTGGCTACAAACTGATGCAAACTGTGTGATACTTAGTTCTATGCAGAAATTAACTTATGCGTGGGCTGTCGAAAGTGTCAACATAATATTCCGTGTAACGACGATGCAAATGTTAAAGGTGATTCCACGTGTATCATCTGAATGTCGATATGTTTTTTGGAACAGAGATATCCACAAATCACGAATTATCTCTCAAAACCCGAAAGCAAATACCATATGTCAGACACTGGCCCACGATTCGTCTTTCTTCGTGAACAACATCGCACTCAGTGTCACGAATTTGTCGCGTACAATAAGTGGTTGTTACAAACTTATTATCGTGATAGTTAAATTGTTAACTCTTGTTATGGTAACTGAGTTAAGGAAAAGTATTTCATTTGTTCTACTAACAGTAAACCTTAAGTTCGTTATTTTGGGGAAAATAATGTGTGCTGGATTGGAACTAGAATATGATAAAGTGCCCAAATCCGTACACTGAGCTTGAATGTTTGAGCGTTTACTCACAAGGATGCAAATCTAACTTTTAATAATAATAACAAAATAAATCTGTTAATATTTCGACGGATATCTATTCAGTGTTAAACAAAGAAGAGTTAACAGGTGTGCCTTTGCCGGAAATGTAATAACCAAACGCTGTGTAATCCGCTACCGTTATTGTATAACGCGGAACAATTGGAGTAACAAAAGCGGTGAACAATGGCTCACCCCGACTCACTCTTTCGGCACGTCCATATGGTGTATTTCAATAGCCGGTCAGTCTATACGGATGTGACGTCACTGTTGGGAAATCCCCCAATTTTTATTTTACTTCCAGGGGGTTCCCTTGCACTCACATTTCACGAAAAGTTTCCGATATTGGTCTTTTTTTAACGAAAATGCAATTTGTCTTTTGTTTTTAGTTTGAGGGTATTGCATGAAATAAGTCGACTAAACGTATGGTAGGAATGTGTTGAATACTGCTAGTATTGCATGAAATAAGTCGACTAAACGTATGGTAGGAATGTATTGAATACTGCTAGTATTGCCAGTTGACTTGAAGCTGTTAGTTGACAGTATATTTACATATAGCTACAAGTTGGTCGGTATCTGACGCTACTACAGTGGCCAGACGCCGTTAAGTGGGTCGGGATTCATTCGTTAATCCCATCTTGTACGGTCCGTCATAGTACTCCGACATCATTGTAAGTGCATAACCTCGGTTTCATTTGAAATCACGATACGCTTTCAGCGTTTATTAACGCACAGTGTATGGATGCTGCTTCATCGACAAACACGTTTTTACCTTCAAATTCGGAAATGTGTTTCACCATTACACCATTTAAGAGTATCTTGGTCTAGCCAAGGCATAGTTAAGATTGAATGCCAAAATGGTCTACATATATGTGGGTCAAATAGTAAAAATAATCGTGGTGACCTCGTTACCCCTAGCTATTAGACGCACCCACGACAAGAATGTTGGCTGAACTCTCTGTCGGGTCACAAAGGGGGTGGCTTGTGTACCCCGGATGTGTACTGAATGATATAACTATACTGCCGTATTGTACTATATCGGTGTTGTGTCAATAAATTATTATTATAACGCATATAGCATATATTCTAACTTCGAGTTGAATCCTGAACTGGCGCATCTAGTGTTAACATAATCAAAACGTTATAAAACAAAATAAGTTTTGACACGGTGTGCTAAAACATACTAGAACAGCCCCGCCATATCATCTGAAGCCTCGGCTCGCCTTCGGGCCGACTCGGACCTGTTCACCACATTGATTATGGTCATGAATATTCAAGATGGCCACTACGTTGCATCCAAATAATCAGGCCTTACTTCCCCCACATTAGGCCCCTGGCTGTTTGAAAGATAAATTGACGCATACTTGTCAACGTCGGCTTTATTTAAATGTGACTATTCCAAGGGTTATTCAATTTAATTCGCCTAGTCGTCAGCATACATACGGCGGTCATGGTTAACGGTTTGTTAAAACTGCTCATGCGCGCGAGATCGCGACGTAGCTCAGGTCAACCCTATCACAGTCATGTGACTCAATGAACTTTTTGTGTGAGCTTTCATTTTTTTATTAGGTCAACGGTTATCTCGAGTCAATTTATTTAGGATGTATGTATGTACTTACAGTAGTGTACTACATTGTACCATCTAGCCCGGACTAAACCTCCAGTAGCAACGGTTGATCGATCGGCCGTTGCCGCAGATTTTCAGTTGAACATGGTCGGAACCTGACATGAATCCGCGAAGCTATGACCATAGTTGGCAAGCGCTGAGCATGCTCCATTGTCCGATTCGTGGAACTATAATTATATAAAAAAAAAACAAGTCGTTAGGAAGAAATGGACTGTAGTCACCGAAGGCAGTCATTTCATTGGCGGCGGTTATGTGCCAATCCAATAAAGTTGAACAGATCAGTTCAATGTAAGTTCAATGACGTCACGGCCCAGTAGTGGTGATTGTTTGCCAACTATTCACTGTGTATATAGCGGTGTGCAACTCGATAATTGTGGTTAACGTTGTTGATATGGCAATTGTTCAGGGCGTAGACTAGGCCCCCCCCCCCCCGTGAGGGTACTCACTTGCATAATTAAGTTTGTTTTCACATTTGAAACGACCAATGGAGTTAGAAAGGCTTTTTAATTTGAATGTTAATTACTACCTGGGTGTCATATGATGTATTATATTTCATTATGTGTCAAATAAAAATAATTTTGCATGCAAAGCAGAACTTGGAAAATACCCACATTCACTAGATGTGAAGATACAATTTACAATACCAAAAATGATAAATAAAATTGGCAAAGTAAGCAAACGAAAAAATATAAACCTCTGAAAAAAAAATAAAACTGAAAAAAATGAGGCCGTATACAAAATTCAAATATTCTTATAATTTTGAAAAATACTTGGATGTAACGAATTTGAAGCAGCGAATTTCAGTGATAAAATTCTGAAATACGAGTAGTAACTATTAGATGAACTGCACTTTGTTATGATATGCTCACAATATAAAGTAATACGCCAACAAATCATACAAGAAATTACATTTCCAGAAAAAACACAGGATGATCTCTAGAAATTTAATTTCTTGATGACTTCAAAAGTGATGTCATAATAACAAGATTAATAACTATCTAACTGTTCATAACTCATTCCAATTCAATTCAGAAAAGAAAATGCCGTAAGATAAAATTTGCTTTATTCCATCCCATTAGTTGTCACAACTAGTCTTTATTAGTTGATAGAAAGATTGTATTTCTATGAAAATGTGAATGTAAACCATCCTGTGTTCGTGACGATGGTACCAGAATGTAAACCATAATGTATTCGTGACGACGGTACCAGAATGTAAACCATCCTGTGTTCGTGACGATGGTACAAGAATGTAAACCATAATGTATTTG